GGGGGGGGTGTCACTCTTTGTCCCCCCCCGGCCACGTGGAACTAGGACCCCCCAATTCCCAGGGGTAGCCCGTATCGGGGGTGTGTGTGAGATGGGGGGGTCAGGATCGAGGATGGAGGGGCGGGATGAGTGATGGGGGGCAGGAACAGGGGGGGCAGTAGCCCCAGGGGGGTGAATTCAGGGGGGCCGAGGCACCCACAGCTCATGCCCCATGTAGTGTAAAGGGGGATGTACCATGAATGAGGGAAAAAACTGATGATGGGCAAAATATTAATGAAAAAATATTTGTAATATATTATAATATATTATAATAAATAAATTTATTAAGAGATTAAATAGTCCCAGGATCTTCTCCTCTCCGTTGGCACCAAGACATCACATTCCCGGAGAGAGAAAGGTCTTCACCAGAAACTCATCTCCGAGATAATATAATCAAGGGTGCAATTTCTGCAACAGGGAAAGAAAAAAACAAAACACAAATCAACCCCCAAACCCCTCACATTAAAGCAGCAGCCACAGAGGAGGGGAGCAGAAAGCAGTTCCAAGCTGCAGCCCTGGCAAAGCAGAGCCAAGGCAGATGGAAGCGTTGGAACAGCCTTTAGCCTCTCCCTGGGGAGAGGAGAGAGGCCACCAACATCCCCCTCCTGCAGAGCCAGGAGAAGCCCCAGATTCGTGCCTTTGTGAGGGAGGAGCTCAGGGAGACCCAGGGACGTTGTGGGGTTTGGACTTACTCTTCACTGGGGGTTTCCTGGGGTCACAGGAGGAGAAGGTGCTGGCTGAGGATGGGACACGGTGGGCACTGCTGGACTTCTCCTCGCTCACACCAGGGTGGCTGTTGGTGGACGCACACAGGACTGGGTTTGTTCTGAAAAAGAGAAGGGACAGCCATTTCAGGAAAGGATTCGCTGTGGTTTGATGCAATTCTTCAGGTACAAGCCACGTTTGGTAACAGCAGCATGGCTGAGACCACACGGAACCAGCAGGGACCAGGACCTCCAGGCTTCCCAGCAAGACAGAGGCTATTACAGGTACAGGTTTCCCTGGAAAAGGGCCTCCCGAGGACACAGTGTCCCTTCCTGCCAGGACATGGAGCTTCAGGGAGACGCTGGAAGGAGTGACCAGGAGAAGAGGCCCTGAACAGCAAGGGCTCCTTGAGAAACACTCACGTGGTCTTCTCTGGCAGCAGGGCTCCTCCAGTCCCAAACTTCTCCTGTCTCCTCTGTACATCCCGAGGGGCCTTTGGCGGCTGGGGTTTGTACTTACTCTTCACTGGTGGTTTCCTGGGGTCACAGGAGGAGAAGGTGCTGGATGCACACAGGACTGGGTTTGTTCTGAAAAAGAGAAGGGACAGCCATTTCAGGAAAGGATTCCCTGTGGTTTGATGCAATTCTTCAGGTACAAGCCACGTTTGGTAACAGCAGCATGGCTGAGACCACACGGAACCAGCAGGGACCAGGACCTCCAGGCTTCCCAGCAAGACAGAGGCTATTACAGGTACAGGTTTCCCTGGAAAAGGGCCTCCCGAGGACACAGTGTCCCTTCCTGCCAGGACACGGAGCTTCAGGGAGACGCTGGAAGGAGTGACCAGGAGAAGAGGCCCTGAACAGCAAGGGCTGGCTCCTCCAGTCCCAAACTTCTCTTGTCTCCGTCGTACGTCCCGAGGAGCCTTTGGCGGGGAGTGCAGAAGCACGGTTTTGGACGCTCGATCTGTAGGAGGCCAAAGGGAAACATGGCTCAGATGCAGCTCATGATAAATGGGGCTCCTCCGTTCCTGTCTTAGCAGAGAACAGAGAGTGAAGCAGCTCCTGAATTGGACTGGATTTCAACCAGCCACTCTGGAGACTTTCCTCACACCAAGACGTCCCCTCAGCAGCATTCCCAGAGCCCTCTCTCATGGTCCAGCCCTTCCTCACCTTTGTTGGCCTGAGCTGAGCTGATCTTCTGGGCCAACTGGAGCAGCCGCTGCTCCCGTGCCTCGTGCAGGCGGAGGTACATCTCCCGCCAGGACTCGGCCCCTCTGGGCTCCTCATTTTTGAATTCTCGGAGACATCGGCTCTGAGACAGTGGTTGTGCCAGAGCTGATCTGTATCCTCAATGAGGACCTGAAACAAACCCACCCGTGAGCTGGGATCCCCCCGGACACCTTCACCCCCCTCTCCCTCGGCACCGCCTGGCGCCGGTGGCACTGGAACAGCAGCGAGGACAAGGCAGCTTTGGGAGCAACGTGCAGCAAGAGAGGGGCAGATGGAACTCAGGACCAGCAAAAGCCACCTCTTGCTGTCAAGAGGCTGTTCTTGACTATTCATCTATTGCAGATGAGGACAGAACGTCCCTCCCGCGTGTCACCAGCCCTTCCCCAGGCCCAGCCACTCACATGGTGACGTCCCTCCGTGCCACAAAGCTGCTCTGGGGGGCATCTCCCCAACGCTGGCTCCACCACAGAGACACCACCCGCTTGACAGATGGCTAGAGAGAGAAGCAAGATGCAGAGTATTTATCCTGCCCCTTCCTCACCAAGGAAAAGGGCTCAGCTGCTTGAATGCAGTGAAACCGCTGCAGCCACCGCACACGAGGAGGGGGAGGAGAAAGGAACCCTGTGTGACCCTCTCTGGTGGGTCAGCAGGCACCAGTCTCTCCCAGTGCAGAAGTGCCTGCACAAGGCTCCATTTCCCCCTATTTCCAGTGCTGGAGGAAAGGTACTTACAGGCAGTGTTGTTGGTGACCCCTGGGACAGGCTGCTGAGAAGGAGCCCTTGGGACTCGGGCGGTGTTAAGGCCCGAAAACACCGGGGTCTTGGAATAGACCCGGCAGCCTGGGAAACCCCCTTCTGGCTCTTCAGCTGCCGAGGGAGCCGCTGTGAAGTGGAAGAGGTGGAGTAAGAAGGGAACAGAGCAAAGAAGAGCCCAGCCTGAGTTGCTGCAGCCCATTTCAGACCAATTGGCCTGCCCAACATACCTCTCCTTTTCTTCTGGGGGCAGGGAGGGGACTCAGCAGCAGGAAGGGGGCTGCAGCGGGCCTGGATCGGCGGCAGGGGGATCTCTGGGAGCTTTATGTCCACGTTGAGAAGTATCTGGAAGGAGACGACGTGCAGGCAGGTCACATACCCATAACATGGATATGAGGCACCTTCTCAGCATCCTAACAGGCTGCTAAGATTATAAAAAACACTCTTTGAAGGGGAAGGTGTTTCAAAGTTGAGCAAAAAGACTCAGCAGTCAAGGTTTGACACAGCCAGCACCTCCAAGGGGAAAAGGAAGAAGCCCCAGAGGGCAGGGGACCGAGAGCAGCTGGTCCCACATCCCTGGTTCACTTGCAGACCCTTCCAAACCTTACCCTCTTGGGTTCAGGAGCCTCTGGTGGCTCCTGCTCTCCCCGTTGCTCATGGCTGCGCTTGCGGCTGGGGCTGGGCTGACAGGAGCAGGAGCTGTCGACACGGGGGTGCTCTTCTTTCCCCGCCGACACAGAGGCTCTGACCGCTCTCTTCACTTTCTTTTTCTGAGGCTGGTCATAGTTGAGGTACTCCTCAAAGGACATGGTGGGTAGTGGAAATTTCTCTTCCTTTTCATCCTCCCCCAAAAGGGAGGGAAAGCCAGTTGATCTTTTGGCCACATGAGAGAATTTGCGCTTTCTCTCGGAAGAGCTGAAGCTCCCAGAAATCCCCTTCTCTTTAGTTTTCTTGGAAGAGTCACTCTTAGATGACCCTTCCTGCCGCCCTTTGGTGGAGGTCTCCAGGCTCCGCTTGGTCTTCTCCACTTTGCCTCTTTCAGAGTCCCGGCATTTCTCCTTCTCAGCACATTTGTTGTCTCTGAAGGGATAAAAACCCCAAAATCATTATATTAAAACACGGGCAGCAAGCTGATTGTATCTCTTGCTATCAAAGGCACTTTGCTGGCCTTGAAAGGCCTTTTAAAGCTGTTAATTGCTTCATCAAACCACAAATTCTTGACAGTCGGTCCCTATATTCACCCAAAACTGCGGCCACCAGCAGCCCAACGCTCTCTGGTCCGCAGGGGCAGGAATTTCTGCCAAACCAAGGCCCAAACCCCATCCAGAGTTAGCACACTTGTCTCACAAGCCTTCCCAGAGCCTTCCCTTTTATTACTTCCATCGGAGAAGTTTTTCACCCTGACGGCAAAACAGAGCAAAGCTTCTCCATCAGGATCACCACCCAGGGTCACTCACCTCACTGCCTCCTCGCAGAGCTGCTCCAGCTTCTGCCACGCAGCCTGGAAACTGGCCTCAAAGTCTGCGTCCAGCTCGGTCACAGCATTCCCAAGAGCTGGCTCCTTCAGGAGAGAGACCAGACATCAGTTCATCTGAGCAAGACACGGGGCATCCTCACCTCTGCCTGTCCCCGCCAGGTACAAGGAAGACCCCTTGATCTAACAGCCAAGATACCCCAGAGAATAAATCATGTTTTCAGCAGCCATTGGAGCGTTTACTACAGTTCTGTAAATCCAAGACGACTTAACTCTGCCTTAGACAAACATTAATTATTTGTAGCCAAAACCCAAGTTAGTACTTACCATGACTGCGGGTAAGTTTGATGAAGGAAAACTTCACTAATACTTGTGTAGGATTATAAATTCTAGTAACTAATAACCTAATAACCTAATAACCTATTAAACTAGTAATCGAATAAACTAGTAAACTAATAAACTAATAATCTAATAACCTATTAAACTAGTAATCGAATAAACTAGTAAACTAATCAACTAATAATCTAAACTAATATTAGTTCTAATAACTAATAATCGTCGGGATAATAGTTCCTAATCTAATGCCTATCCTATCTCAGAATCAAGAATCTCAGGTCTCAAGGTGAAGGTTGGTGAAGAGCTGGGGACACGAGAGGTTCCTCCGAGACTCTCCAGGGACGCGCTCCTTGGCGCTGCCTTTTATCTCCAGACCCGCATCACAATGGGGCCTGTGAGACGGGGCTGGAGCAGGCGGCCGAGGGCACAGGCCCCATTCCTGGGGAGGCAGCTTTGCCGGGGCCAAGAGTTCTCCTGGGACTGGAGAGACCCCAGGGAAGGGGGAGAGATTTCCCAGCTCTTACCACAAGAACGTCCACTGCCGTGGGCACCTCCGGCAGCCTCTTCAGAGCTTCTGTTCACCACAAACCACTGCCCCATCGCCATTAGATTTAGGAATTCCTTGCCACGACTGAAGGCTTTGGTTTTCTTGTTTGCTTTGGGGGAACAAAACACTGATCCCAACATAACGGTGTGTTTCAGCACTCCTGAGCCAGGCTGCGGAGGGGGATGCGATAGTTGTGGCTGTGCTGTAATCACAGCTCACCGGGGCTGCAACCCTCTGTCCTGCAACTCCAGGCTCACCGTAACGCAGAGCCTCCCTTGGGATTCACGGGGTCTGGGGTGGGTAACATGCTCCACCACCTACCTCAATGGATGGGGAAACAAAAAAGGGGAAAAAAACCAGAAGTTAATTGAGCTAAAAATGTCAACATCCTCTCAGTTTCCAGAACCGCTGTTATTTTGCCCACACTGTGGCCCAACAAGCCCCCTGGCAAGCGCAGCCATTGATCTTGTTTCTTCCTTCAGTCATAGAATCATAGAATTGTTCAGGTTGGAAGGGACCTTTAAGATCATTGAGTCCAACCATCAACCTAACTCTGATAAAAACCATCAATAAACCATGTCTCTACGCACTATGTTAACCCATCCCATCCCCACCCTATCCCCTGCCATGCCATGCCATCCCATCCCATCCCATCCCATCCTCCACAGCCAGATGTCTCACAGGGCAGCTCAGTCCCATCATGAAACACGAGGGGCCCAGAGGAGCCTCCTGGAGAGAGTGGGGCCATGGCGTTGGGAACAGGGCAAGGATCAAGACGAGCAGAAGAATTCACTGGGAGAGCAAATAATTCCTCTGGGATAATTTTTCTCGCTGCCCCAGGCTGTGGCTTTGGAGGTGTTGCCGGCGGTGAGATGAGGAGCAGCCATCACTGGAGCTGTTCCAACAGCGATCTGCCTCCTCCTCCTCAGAGCATGATTTTCCCTCGAATAAGTGGAAGTTCCACAGCAGCCCCAGCATTCTTCTGCATCTCCCCGTGGAAGTGACCTGTCAGTCCCTCCAGAAGAATTCACTGGGAGAGCAAATAATTCCTCTGGGATAATTTTTCTCGCTGCCCCAAGCTGTGGCTGTGGAGGTGTTGCCGGTGGTGAGATGTGGAGCAGCCACCACTGGAGCTGTTCCAACAGCGATCTGCCTCCTCCTCCTCAGAGCATGATTTTCCCTCGAATAAGTGGAAGTTCCACAGCAGCCCCAGCATTCTTCTGCATCTCCCCGTGGAAGTGACCTGTCAGTCCCTCTTCCCAGGGCGACTCCAAATGCAGGAGAAAGCTGCTGGAACAAGAGAGGGATTCAGTCCCCCGCCCCACCATCCCACAGCTTCACGCTCAGGAGATTCTTTGTTTCAGTCCATAGGGGTCTATAAGGGTCTGGGGTTGTCCACAGGGGTCTGGGAGGGTCCGTAGGGGCCTGGGGGGATCCACAGGGGTGTGTGGGGGATCTATAGGGGGTCTATAGGGGCCTGGGGGAGGGTCCATAGTGGTCCACAGGGGTGTTGGGGGGTCCATACGGGCCTATGGTGTCATCCTTACAGAGGGAGAGCCTCATCACAAGCATTCAGCTCAGGCCATGGCCACTGAAAGAGCTCTTTGGTCCCAAAAAGGGGTGTGAATTTGGCTTGCTCCCCTTCCCAGAGAACCTGTGTTATGCTCTGCTCTGAGGCCACATGGCCTGCAAATCCTCCCTTCATAGAATCACAGAATAATGGAATGGTTTGGGTTGGAAGGGACCTTAAAGATCACCCAGTTCCATCCTGCTACCCTGGGCAGGGACACCTCCCACCAGACCAGGTTGTTCAAAGCCCCATCCAACCTGGCCTTGAACCCTTCCTCCAGGCTAAGTCAAAATGATGTAAAAAGAGGATCCAGAGCCCTGGCAGTGATCTGAAACCCAGGGAGTGAAGTGAAATTGAAATATGTAGTGTGGGGGAGGGAAAACTCTGGTAAGTTACACCCGGTGCTGCTTGGGAGAAGCTCCAGTACCTTCTGGTGCAGCATCTCCCAGCAAAACGACTGCAGTTCATCCCTGCAGGCCTCAGCGGCGGTTCCAGACAGGACCCCATCCCGCTCTGCCAGCGTCTGCCCCAGCGCTCTCCGGACAGAGGCAGCAGCACACGGCGGTGCAGGCCGGGCCCTGCTCCCGGCGCCGGGGTGTGAGGGCGGGCAGGGCCGGCTGCTTCCCCCTACTCTTATCTCGAAGGGCCCGGGGGACAAAATGGCGGCCGCCCTCCCGCGGTTGCCCCGGCAACCGGCCGCCGCGCCGCTTCGCCCTCCGGCCGCCAGGGGCGCCGCCGCTCGCGCCGCGCCCTCCCATAAGACCCCGCGGCGGCCGCCGCCTGGCCTTTTCCCCGCCTCCATCATGGCGGTAAGTGGCGGTATCCGCGGGCCGCGGCCGGGATGTGCCTTCTCTATCCGCCGTCATCCGCCCCCGGCGGGGCTCGGGCGGGCCGCGTCCCGTGCGGGCGGGAGCGGAGGTGGCCGGGAGGGAGAGCTGCGGGGCCGATATGGGCGCGGAGGAGCCGATGGGGTCGCCCTGGGGAAGCGGCTGCCATGACAGGCCGCGGCCTGTCCGGCGGCGGTGCTGGAGGGGCGGCGGCGGTGCTGGAGGGGCGGCGGCGGGGCTGGGGGTTCTCCCGCGGAGCGGGGCTCGGTGTCCGGCTGCGGCGGAGCCTTTTCCGGGCGTCGGTGCGAGCGGCGGGCCGTCTCCCCGGAGCTCCCCTTAGCCCCTTTTTTCTCCGTGTGGTTTCTCCGCAGCAAGACCAAGGCGAGAAGGAGAACCCCATGCGGGAGCTGCGCATCCGCAAGCTCTGCCTCAACATCTGCGTTGGGGAGAGCGGGGACAGGCTCACCCGAGCGGCCAAGGTGCTGGAGCAGCTGACGGGCCAGACCCCCGTCTTCTCCAAAGGTGAGGGGGCGGCTTTTCCCGGGGGGTGAGGGAGCTGCGGAGGAGCAGGGGTTGTTTTCCTCCCTGCCCTGAGCGGACAGAGGGTGAAGCAGAGGAATGGCTGCCTGGGGAAGAAGCTTCTTGGCAGAGCCAGCCTGGAGAAGGCTGCTCTGATGTGGTGTGAAAATTGGGGGGTCTTAAATATTCGGGTGCTGGTGGTTGCTTCTGTCACTTCACTTCTGCCTCCAGACTGGGGCTGCTGCTCTGCCCCCATCCCCAAGGAGGGGATGTGTGGTTATCTTGGTTCTTTTTTTTCTTTAAAGTCACTTTTTCAGTCATTTTAAGCCAGCTCTGAATCCCCCGGGTGGGAATTATTTGAATAACCTCTAAATGTCACTATTGCTGCCAACAGCACGCTACACTGTGAGGTCCTTTGGAATCAGGAGAAATGAGAAGATTGCTGTTCACTGCACGGTTCGTGGGGCCAAAGCGGAGGAGATTCTGGAGAAGGGGTTGAAGGTGAGTGTTGAAGGTCTGGACCTTTAATTTGTAAAAGGACAAAACTTAATCTGAAAAGGTGTGGGCTTTGAGGTGTTGCAGCTGATGTTATGGGTCAGTGGTGGGTGTGAAGGGTTGGGGTAGCAGCTTTGCCTGACACAGGCTGCTGGGTTTGCACCATTTCTCTGCCTTGTTGCTGTTTCATCATTATTTAAGAGCCAGCAGGTGCAGTTGCTGCTTTCTTTTGAGGTTCTGCCTTTGCTGCTGTGATTTATTAGCAAAATCTAGGGCTAAATCTGGGTCTGGGAGCAAAATCTTAGGGCTAAAGGCTCTGTAGCATGTGAGTTGTGGGGCTGGTAGCAGGTGGTAGAACACGTGGGACAATAATGAAATGGTGACTGACAACCAATGTTTCAGGTGCGAGAATACGAGTTGAGGAAAAACAACTTCTCAGACACTGGGAACTTTGGCTTTGGAATCCAGGAGCACATCGATCTGGGGATTAAATACGATCCCAGTATTGGTATCTACGGCTTGGACTTTTATGTGGTGCGTATTCCCCGTTTCCTTATAGCTCCTGGGCTTGGTGAAAGCTCTGGAAGGATCACTGGCTCCCTCTAATTTGCTGCCCAGTGCTGGAAGATGGAAAAAATGTCAACAAAATCCAAATCTAAACTGAGATTCCCAGGGCTGCTGTAAATCCTCGATTTATGTCTCTCGGAGCCTTTTGGAAACAAATACTGCTGCTTTTACTGGTGTTGCTGGGATGGCAGCGAAGCAGCTGCTGGGTTTGGGGAAGGCAGGAGCAGCAGGAGCTTTGGGAATGGAGACTGAAGGACGGGCTGTGTTTCTGGAGGGTTCTCCCTGCGTTCAGAGGGCTGGGAATGGGCCGTGTAGCAGAGCTGGTGCCTGGTGTGTTTGAGTCATTCCATCCTGCCGTGCCTCCCTCTAAATCCCTGAAATAGAGGGAAGCTGTTCAGTGTATCTTTTCTCAAGAGCTGAGGCCTCTGGGTATGGAATAGTGTGTTTTCTGCACTCATTTTGGTTTCTGAGTCAGTGTATGTGCTGAGTTTTGCAACCTAGGAGCTCTTCCCTGACAGTTCACCTGGCTACTCAGAAGTTACTCCATTTTCAGTTTACATGGAGGCTGTAGAATATAGTGCTTTTGGTCTTGAATGTGATTCAGACAACGAGATGTTACTGATGTGAAAATTGTGGCTACTCAGAAGTTACTCCATTTTCAGTTTACATGGAGGCTGTAGAATATAGTGCTCTTGGTCTTGAATGTGATTCAGACAAGATGTTACTGATGTGAAAATTCTAGCCTTCCCTCCTAGAAAAATATTTAGTTTTAAGTTTAAGAAAATAAATAGATGGCAGAATGACTTAGTGCTGTGGGTCTCCTCTCCTGGCAGGTGCTGGGCAGGCCTGGCTTCAGCATCGCTGACAAGAAACGCAGAACTGGCAACATTGGAGCCAAGCACAGAATTGGAAAGGAAGAAGCCATGCGCTGGTTTCAGCAGAAGGTAAAGTCCATCTTTATTTTTGTATCCCGAGAGTTTCCTAGCAAGTATCAACAACACACTTCACTGTGGAAGGGCTGGAACAAGGCACTGGACAGGAGGAGCTCTTGATCACTGCTTAAATCAGTGGTTTTTCCTGCTCTGGGGCAGTAGAAGCTGTGTTTGAGCACGAGTGCTGTTCATGCCCCTTTTTTTGTGCGCTGAAGTGAAAGAGCAGCTCTCGTGTAAATCTGTCCCCCATGGTTTTTGGGGAGGTGTTCTGTGTGCAGTGCTGAGGCAGGGTTAGGATTTGTTTACCTGACACAGTTCCCAGCTCAGCTGCCAGACGTAGAGCATGGAGTGATCCATGGTTTTTGGGGAGGTGTTCTGTGTGCACAGATTACAGGTGCTGAGGCAGGGTTAGGATTTGTTTATCTGACACAGTTCCCAGCTCAGCTGCCAGACGTAGAGCATGGAGTGATCCAAATAAAACAAGTTACTGGGTTTATCTCTTTGTGTTGTCTGATACGGGCACTGGATGATGAGTGGGATATGACAAAAGCTTGATGGGGAAGGGCTCAGAGATAGGGACTCCTGATACACCATGGTTTTTGGGGAGGTGTTCTGTGTGCAGTGCTGAGGCAGGGTTAGGATTTGTTTACCTGACACAGTTCCCAGCTCAGCTGCCAGACGTAGAGCACGGAGCAATCCAAATAAAACAAGTTACTGGGTTTATCTCTTTGTGTTGTCTGATACGGGCACTGGATGATGAGTGGGATATGACAAAAGCTTGATGGGGAAGGGCTCAGAGATAGGGACTCCTGATACATTTTTCAGAGGGAAAGGGTGGGCAGTCTGTCTGGAGGCTCTGCACTGGCTACTCTGCCTAGATCTACACCGGCCATATCCTGTGCAGGGTGGGCTGCCAGACGTAGAGCATGGAGTGATCCAAATAAAACAAGTTACTGGGTTTATCTGTTCATGTTGTCTGACATGGGCACTGGATGATGAGTGGGATATGCCAAAAGCTTGATGGGGAAAGGCTCAGAGATGGGGACTCCTGATACATTTTTTCAGAGGGAAAGGGTGGGCAGTCTGTCTGGAGGCTCTGCACTGGCTACTCTGCCTAGATCTACACCGGCCATATCCTGTGCAGGGTGGGCTCCTGCTGAATGGCCCCTTCCCCTCTTCAGAACTGGTTCTGCTGAGTGTGACATAGTGACCTTCAACAGCCAAATGCTGGGGCTGTAGAAGGGACAAGTGTAGTTCTGGTCAGATCAGCCCCTTGTTTCACTGGGCTGATGAGCAGAGTTTAATCGTTAATCAGAAGAAAACCTGGCTTGGAAGTTAATAGCACGGCATCAAGGTAGAAAGGCAACTGGTTGGCTGCTCAGCTGGGAGAACTGGTGTTTAATCTCAGTGTTGTCTGGCAGCTTGGAATGAATTTCATGTGATGGCTCAGTTTTTACCACAGTGGTGCTGCACCTTTACCTGCCAGTGCTTTCTCACTTGGTTCTTTTTTTTTGTTTTCTTACAGTATGATGGCATCATCCTTCCTGGTAAATGAGCAGTTCCTGTTACCAAAACAAATAAATACAGTTTTCTAACCCCTAACTTCTGTTGTGAATTTTATGGGGGTTCCTCCTGACCTGGGAAGCTGCTGGGAGTGTGGGTCAGTCACACTGGAAAGGCAGCAGGACACGGACTGATGCTGTGGACGTGAAGAGAACGTGGTGTTCTTCAGAAGTTGGTGGCTTTACGTGGATCCAGTCTCCACTTCTGTCCAACTTGACAAACGTGTGAAACTCTTAATAAAATTTGCAGGTGGGCACAGAAAGAAGGAAAAAGAACAACACATGCTTTTTGACCGCTAGAGTTGAAGAGCAGAATTTGAGGGTTAAATTCCTGAAGGGAACAATGTAAGTGGTGTAGTTCTGATCCTCCACAGACCAGCCTGCTCCTTAATGAATGAGGAATTAGCAGAGGAAACTCTGTTGCTGTAGGAACTGTTGGGAGTGCAAGTTCAATGGGAAGCCAAAGGAATTGGCAAAGGTATCCTCTTAATAAAGCAGAGCCTTAAAGCCAAAATGTGGCTGAGGGTTCTTTGTCCAAGCGAGTGTGATGGGAGTGACTTGAAGGGGCTGAGGGGGTGGGCAAGGCCTGTGGTGCTGGGAGGCTGGTGAGGGTCCTGAGCTGAGATTCAAACCTAAAATCACATGTAAATGTCCTCCAGTAAGAGACAGGGCCTGTTACCAGTAAGATTCTGGCTGCAACTTTTGACTATTTCGTGATGTCTGGTAATGGCCATGGGCTGGGGACCAGGAAATAAGGACCACTCTCTTGCCTCCTGCTCGTCACAGGTTCTCACTGCTCTGGGGCTGGATCTCGGACCCCCCGGGGCAGGGTTTGGGGTTCTGTGGTGTGGTTTGTTCTGATGTTCTCTGCCCTAAACCCCAGATCTGCTCTGCAGGAGGAGCCTGCAGTCCCTGTGCCCTCTGAAAAGGCAGACAGGGTTTTAGTAAAGACTAGTAGCTCTCTGCTGTCTCGGATGCAGAGACAGGGAGGGACCCTAGGCTAGTGCTTGCCCCTGGAAACTTAAGTTTCCCAATAATTTTTCCTTTTAGAGGTCAGACACTGCTTTTACAGTAATGGGGAAGCACTGACTGAGTTCAAACCCAAGCTGTCAGTTTGATGGTGGGAATAACAGAACCTGGCTAGGAATATCTCTGTGAGAGCTCTTGGTTTAGATGTGAAGGGCTTCTGAGAATTATTTTCTGATAATAAAAAAAATCAGTTGATACGTATTTTCAGGGCACCTCTGAAATCTCCTGGAGTTTTGTAGCATCCTTAGGCACTTTCCCAATTCCCTCTGCTTGAGCTGGAGGAAGAACAAGAGACCTTGGCGAGTTGCTCCACTAGTTCTCCTCCTTGCTATCAACAATCACCTCACTCCTGGGCTGAAGGCATCTGGCTTTGGTGAGTAAATACTAAATGTCTTACACACACAAATGCTTTGTGAGCAACAGGCTCTGTTCTAGACCTGTCACTTTGTTGTCCCTAATACCAATACTAATGTTTTGAAAGTGTCTCCTGATACTATTCCTACTGTAGAATTTCTCCTGTGTTATTCTAGGGTTTTTTCTTCTTTTTCCTTTTTTTTTTTTTTCAACCCATGGTGCACTAGAGTGCTGCAGGCTGAGGAGAAAAGCTCTTCTGTCCTGCTTGCTTCTGTGTTTGCCCCGCTTTGAGCAATCCCTGCTTACGCTGAGGGGTGGAGACGCCGGCAGCTCAGAATACGCTTTCCTAGAGCCCCAAACTTGCCATGATGGAACCAAGAGTGAGACTTTGTGGTGGCTCCAAACATTATTGTGCCCTCCCCATCCAGCTTCTCCACACTCCTCAGCTCTCTCTCCTTCCCCAGCTGCTGGCATAAGCCATGTAGCACCCTGGCTCTTTACGTGCTGGCTGCTGCTGAGGCCACAGAGCTGGCCCGGGACCTGGAGCTCGGGGAGCGTGGGAGGAGGATGGTACAGCACGAGAGACCCACGGTGGCCTCAGGAAGGTCCTCATCCTTGGCCCACTCATTGAGGTCAGGATTGTAGCACTGCACACATTTCTGATACCTCTTCCCGCTTTCGTTCCAGCCACCCACCAGGCACAAACGCCCCTCCAGCAGAGCCACCCCGGCCGTGCTGACCCCTGTGGGCACGGGGGCCATGTAACTCCACTGGCCCGTCAGGGGGCTGTAGCACTCCACGGGCATCACGTCCACCCGCTCGCCCTGGGGACCCAGCTGGCTCCCACCCAGCACGTATGCTCGGTTGCCCACGGTGGCTGCGCAGTGCCAGCCCCTGGGGGTGCCCAGCCTTGCCTGCTCCCTCCAGGCGTCGCTGCTGGGCTCGTAGCAGTACACGGTGCGGGAGTAAGCATGGCTGATGTAGCCACCGGTGACCAGGAGCTTGCCGTCGATGACGGCGGTGGCGTGGCAGCAGCGGGGCGTCTCCAGGCTTGCCTTGCTCTGCCAGCTGTTGGTGGTGGGGACGTAGCACTCAACGGATGCCAAGGCCCCCTCGGCGTTGCGTCCTCCGACGGCGTAGAGGAGGCCGTTGCAGGCGCTGAGGCTGAAGTGTGTCCTCCTGTGCTGCATGCTGGCCAGGTGCAGCCAGGTGTTGAAGCGCGGGTCGTACCTGGGGGACGAAGGGCAGGTCTGTCTGTCCAGGACTAGCATCAGAGCCACGGGGAGAAGAGGGACCTGCCAAGCATCTGCCTTCGGAGGAGACAACTCATGCTCTGGAAAAGCGTCTCCATCTTCTCCAGCAGTTAAAAAAGCATCTGGACAGGCAGTGCAGAGGGAGATGGTGGCACTGCATAGGATTGGATGCTACCTGTGACTGCTGGGCTTGTTGTTGCTCTAACTTTCAGGCCAGCCCAGCATTGCTCCTGCCACCACAAGCTCCGGCCTGGCTGGGAAATGGTGAGTGCAACCAATCTGAGGTGTTCCCAAGCACCATCACTGTCCCACACTGGGTCTTGGTGGGTAGAAGAGGACCTAGGGACAAGTCTTCCCTGCCCAACCCTGCCAGGCCAAAGCCAGGTGTGTGATGAGAAGCTGGCTCCTTGTGTGCCCACAGCAGGGGGACCATTGTGTCCCCAGAGTGATGCCCCAGGGTCTAAGGCCAGGCTGGGACAAGGTGGGTAAGCTGTTGGCCAGAAATAGAGCAGACACCAGCCAGTGGGTCCTTGAAACCTTGCTCTGTTCAGGAGACAGAGCCCGGTGACGGCCCCAAACCGAGGGAGGGTGATCAGGGGCCACAAAGGGCTGGCCTCCAGCAGTGCCAACAACATTGTGTGTGGAGCCTCAGGTGGCTTGAGCCAAGCCATGGCCAGAGCGACCGGGAAGTTCAGGTTTAGTTTGCAAACAAAATACTTGCATGTCAGGTTGCCATGGTTACTCCTCCTTTCTTTGAATAGTAATCCCTTGGCGATCCAGTGACAGGTTTATGGGGATTAAGGAAAAAAATCCTCATCGTTTAAATGGTAGAGAAATGGAGGCAGAGAAAAAAAAAAAAGCCTGAAGGGCAATAGGAATCCTACAGATTGTAAATCTACCTTAAAATGAATCCAGACAAACCAGAGGCTGGGTTGGGCTTGCACTGGCTGGAGGAACAGCCAGCGAGCTAAAAGGAGAGCCCCTCAATTACAAAATGGGTGTCTGCTAAATAATGAACAGAGATTTCTCCAGGAGCCTCCCAGCTTCAAAGAGACCCTGCCTTGCCCTCATCCTGCCCTGGTGCTGTGTGCTGCTGGAGGACGTGGGCAGCACAGCCCAGGCATCAAAGTGCCCAGGAGAAGCCCAGGTTCATGCCGACCAAATCCCTGGAAGTGGTTTCCAGGTCTTGTGTCTCACAGTCCAGTGCCCTGTGCTGGGTTTGTCCCTCCCTGGCTGCGTTATCCCAGGGGCTGGACCTACCTCCTGTTACTGATAGCAAAAAGGAACCTTTCTAATGTGCTTGTCCCTCACCCCATGGGGGGACACTGGGGCACAGGCAGGTGGGGCACAGCTCTGAATCCCTCCCCGGGGTCTGTGTGGCCAGGTGGAGCCCCTCTTACCTGTTCAGGCTGCTGACAGCATGCTTGGCCTGGTTCCTGGCATCGTTTTGGTCTTCGCCACCCGCAACGTAGATGAATCCATCCATCACCACCACGCACTGGTTAAAACTTTTCGCTGGCATCTCTGTCAGCTTGTTCCAGTTTCCCTCTGCGTCCCTGTAGCAAATCTCCCTGCTAAGAGCCTTCTCGGTCAAAGCTGGACGACCTCCAACTGTGACAAGCACCCTCTGGCCTCCCCGTATCCTGGTTCTCCGAGACTGAAGGCTGTTTTGCTGGTGGGGGAGAAGGTGGTAATTCATAGCATCCACGAGGAGCTTGTGGCACTGCGGGTCTTGCATCATGCGTGGCACAGGCTGCACGTGGTTGACCAAGTCTGGAGCTGAGATTGTGCCAAATCGGATGTTGCTCAGGAGGTCAGCAGCGTATCGGACCCGTTTCGGATCAAACTCCAGCCACTTGACAGCGATCTGGAAGGCTGCAACCTCGCTGGGTATCTGCAGGCCATCATCCATCAGCAGCTCGTTGATCTGATCAAAGGGGAGTTTCATGAACTGGTCAGTCTTGGAGAACTCCAAGAAGTTTTCCTGGATGAATTTCCGCGTGGCGTCTTTCACCTGGTTGAGGCCGTAGGTGGCCGAGATGTTGGCGATGTACACGCAGTTCTCCACGGCCATCTCCCGCACGAGGAAGTCGCTGCACATGTTCAGCAGGGCCGGCACCTGCAGCTGGGTGGCCGCGGCGATGGTGCTACCGATGGTGTACAGCGAGAGGCTCAGCTTCCCCGTGTAGGCGTAGGTGATGACGGTGGTCAGGCCCAGTGGGGACACGTCACGGAGCTCCACCTGGTGCAGCTGAGGGTCTCTCTGCAGCAGGCGGTGGAAGTACTCGCTGCAGGATGCCAGGATGAGTTTATGCACCTCGAAGGACTTTGTTTTGGTGGCAATGGTGAGATCGCAGAGGAACCGCTTCTGGCGCATCTGGTTCATCCCCTCCAGAAGGCTGGCTCCATGGTCTGGAGCTTCAACCTCCGTGGCCGTGCAGTGGAAGCCGTTGGAGCCACTGTCGTACAAACTATTCAAGTGGTTGAGGTGTTCGACATCTAGCAAAGCCTCTTCCACCATCACTGGGGTGACAGGTGCATCCTCTTTTTCTACCTTCGGCTTCTTAGGGGTTTTCTTCTTGGGTGCCATCTTGGTAGGATCAGAATGGGACCTGGTAAGAAAGGAGAGGTGAGAAGGTAGCAGGGATACAGGTGCCCTTTTGCTCTTTAAGACATTTTAGTTAAGCAAAGGAAAAATTCCCACTCCTACACCCTTTGGGTCAGGCCAAGGGAAGGATGGAAACTGCCTCCTAAGTCCTGTACCCCTCTGAGCTGTGTTAAAGGCATTGAGGGCCTTGACTGCTAGAGGGAATCCTCAACTCTCAACTAGCACCAACACCTAAAAAAAGGACTGGGGATTTTGGGTGGTTGCCTTGGGAAACTGGGAGCACCCACCGGTTCCTGGGGTGTGGGGCTATGCTCGGCCCCACTGTCTGGGGTGACACAGACCCCAGGCAGAGCGAGATGGCGATCTCAGGGTGTGTTTCACCTTATCCAAGCCCCCATCAGATGGGGTGAATCAAATCCCAGCAGCTCTGACAGAGGATCCCCCACAGCAGCGTGGTGAGATGAACCCCAGCACTGCAGGACCACATAGAAAAGGGGGTTCATTTCCCCCTCAGCCCCTTGGGCACGGCAAGGCCACCAGTGAGGTGAGCTGCCCTTTGGGTGACCAGTTCAGAGTGCAGGTGAAAGAGGAGAAAAAAAAAATCAGCGAGGAGAAGAACAATCCAGCTTTTGAATGTGCCCAAATTCCAGCTTGAAACTCAGCAGTGACCTCAGCTCCTCTGAGGGAGCTCGGAGCAGCCAATATATGAGGGAACAAATCTGCCGGCCAGAAATAGCTGTTACTGCCCTGTCTCACATGTCTGGGTGCTGTTTATTACGCTTGGCCGTAAAGATCAGGTTTCTTGGACCTGAGTAATCAGCTTGTATTTAGCACCGGGCAAAGAAGAAGCGAGATGTTATGAGACTTCAGCAAAAATATGGAGAAGGGAAAAATTTAGTAAAAGTCCCTGGCAGGAAAGAGGATTCCGGGCTGAGTCTGAGGGGAAGAGCAGCCTGGTTGGGGTGAGAGAGTAAAAGTCCCTGGCAGGAAAGAGGATTCCAGGCTGAGTCTGAGGGGAAGAGCAGCCTGGCTGGGGTGAGCAGCCTGGCTGGGTTGAGCAGAGGAAGCAGGGATTACACAGACACCCGCAGACCCTGCTCTCTCCTGGCTTTGCACAGGAGCCAAGAGGATTCAGGAGAAAAGTCCCAGGCACTTGAGCCATCCCTAGTATTGCAGCGTTTCATGCAGCTACCCCAATTTACACCACCAAAGGCTCATCTATCACAGTGTCATATCCTGGAGCAGGCATTAATACTTCTAAAACCAGGACGCAAATGCTGCTCTCTCTGTGTGTTTGGATATGAAACTGTTTCCGACACCCAGCTCAGGCTTGGGAAAAGGAACTGGGATTTACCCTTTCAGAGCAACAACACTGTGATGTTTCCCAACATGCATTTTGTTCAGACCTATCCATTCCCCAGGAAAAATCTGCAATTTCAGCTTTTCAGCTGAAGTGACAATATAGGTTAAATATTAGAATTTCCTAGGAGACTGAGATGTTTTTCCAAGCCTTTCTAGATCCCTCAAAGGATGAGACACCAGCTCAGGCTTGGGAAAAGGAACTGGGATTTACCCTTTCAGAGCAACAACACTGTGATGTTTCCCAACATGCATTTTGTTCAGACCTATCCATTCCCCAGGAAAAATCTGCAATTTCAGCTTTCCAGCTGGATTCGGAGGAAGCAGGGATTACACAGACACCCGCAGACCCTGCTCTCTCCTGGCTTTGCACAGGAGCCAAGAGGATTCAGGAGAAAAGTCCCAGGCACTTGAGCCATCCCTAGTATTGCAGCGTTTCATGCAGCTACCCCAATTTACACCACCAAAGGCTCATCTATCACAGTGTCATATCCTGGAGCAGGCATTAATACTTCTAAAACCAGGACGCAAATGCTGCTCTCTCTGTGTGTTTGGATATGAAACTGTTTCCGACACCCAGCTCAGGCTTGGGAAAAGGAACTGGGATTTACCCTTTCAGAGCAACAACACTGTGATGTTTCCCAACATGCATTTTGTTCAGACCTATCCATTCCCCAGGAAAAATCTGCAATTTCAGCTTTTCAGCTGAAGTGACAATATAGGTTAAATATTAGAATTTCCTAGGAGACTGAGATGTTTTTCCAAGCCTTTCTAGATCCCTCAAAGGATGAGACATGTATTTCTCTGAGATACGACACTGCAGGAACCTCCTTGCTGCTGAACTAAACCCAAAAAGGAGCAGGGATTGTCCCAGAGGGAGGTGGCCATCCTGCTGCCCCCATGCTGAGACCAGTCCCAGCAGGATGGGTGCCAGGATGAGCTCTGCAACCTGCTGGGGCAGGAGGGTTAGACTTTATGAAATAAGTGACCTGGGTGTCAGCTCCCACCGGGCTGCACTGAGGATCTGCGTGATACCTTCTGCTCCCCAGACTGCCTTGATTTTGGCCTTTTTTTTTACAGAAACACGCACAGTGTCTACAGCAAGCCACTGTTTCTGTCCATAAAACTGCTCACCCCTCTTTCAGGTGCTCCAGACCCCATTTTCGAGAGGTGATACCGGTGCTCAGCAGCTCCTGTGGGCTTGGTATAGAGCCCAGCACCACAGTCGGGCAAGCTGATCTCTGAAAGCCTTCCTACCTCCTTCTGGAAAGCCCCACTGATGCAGCTGGCTTTCTCCATCCCCTGTCCACCCCACTCAGGGGTCAAAGAGGGTAAAACAGAGGTCTTCTAACTGCCTTCCACTTCTTACAAGTACAATGGAGTCATAAAAAGTTTTGGGTTTGTACTGATGTCCATGGGATCCTGCCTGTCCCCTTTGGGCACCTTTGACAGACTCCAGTTTGAAGCACGTGTTCATGTTATTCCAGTGTCTGGCTGCAGGAAGGCAGGGCGACCTTTACTACCTGCAGCTAATTTAAAATGGGACATCGTTGCTGCTTGTGATTGAAATACCACTGTAGAGACTTGAAAGGGATATTTTTCCCACAGGTTAATCCCGGCTGCTGGATTAATCTAGGGAGCTGGAATGGTTTGAAGAGATTTCAAAGGGCCCAGACAGAAAGGAGGGAAGACAGGTCTTTATTCTAGCTGTTTAAACTTCTTTTAAAAGACAGTTTCAGTGCTGCTAATCTCCGCCCTGCACCATATTACAGAGCTGACAGCAAAGCAGGACCTACGCTGGGTGATACTGTGTCTTCAGGAAGATACGGCGGGTTTATTTTAGTATCTAATCAAACAGAGTCCCTCTCCTTCAGCTGTCGGTGCTCCCAGCCCTGAGTTCAAGCAGGGTCTGAGCCACAGCAAACACCAGAATGGCCTGGAAAACTACCTGGACACTGCATCTCTGAGAACTGCCAATTGCTGCCAATAATTTCTCCAGCCCCATTTTAGAAAACGACAGTCTTTCCCCACGCCATTATTTCCATTACTCAGCAGTTCCCGTGCCCCACTCAAGGTCTCTACAAATCCTGCTCGGCGAGCCCTGGTTCTCCGTGACTCATCTACCAGCTGGGTCTGCTCCTTACCTTGCTGTTAAGACCGGATAGTCCAAGGGGAAGCTCTGACCAGCACAGGGCTCTGCAGGTTGAGAGACAGAGACCCTCAACTTTCCCCACACGACATCCTCCTCCCTCCTCTTCCCTCCCAGCCAGCTGACTGCTCTTATCACTTCTACATACACAGCAGGCTTTGGGGGTGATGCGAGGACAGCCGCCCTCAGCTGAGTCCCCAGAGACATGGAAAGGGCTGGATTCAGGTAGCGCTGCTCTGGCCAAGGGCATCGTCACAGCCAGCGACGGCAGAAGGCAGTAAACCAACGGCTGAGCATGGTCACTGCCAAGGGAGAGGCAACAAGAAGGCAGCCAAAGGCCTGGCTCCACTCCTGAGGGGCTCACAAGGGCATGAGGGGATGAGCTGGGGGTTCATCGCCCTGCTGATGCCTTCCCCGCTCTCCAAGGGGATAGCAGCTCTGAGGCCTTGGCCTGGGCAGCTGCGGCCCAGCTCAATTTGAGGCCACAAATCATAGAATCGTCTAGGTTGGATCATCGAGTCCAACCATCTCCCCTACTCTACAAAGTCCTCCCCTACACCATGTCCCTTAGCACTGCATCTAAATGGCCCTTAAACACAGCCAGGGATGGGGACTCCACCACCTCCCTGGGCAGCCTGTTCCAATGCCCGACCACTCTTTCAGTGAAAAATTCTTTCCTAATGTTCAATCTAAACCTACCCTATTGGAGCTTGAAGTCGTTCCCTCTCGTTCTGTCACTAATTACCTGTGAGAAGAGACCAGCACCAACCTCTCTACAGTGTCCTTTCACGTAGTTGTAGAGAGTGATGAGGTCTCCCCTCAGCCTCCTCTTCCTCATACTTGGAGGTCCCAACTCCCTCAGCCGCTCCTCATACAATTTGTTTTCCAGCCCCCTCACCAGTGGAGCCGTGGGTCATTAGGAAGCAACAGGACTAGGCATGAAAAGCCATTTGGCTCGGGAAAGCCTGTCCTGACCGCGGCAGAGCCGGAGGTGGCACCACTGCCTCAGTGAGGGGCGGCCATGGCGGCAGTGCCCTGCCAGCACTCAAGATGGCGCTTCCCCCCCGCCGTTGCCAGGCCCTAAGATGGCGCCCGCTGCAGCCTGCCCTCACCCACTATGGCCGTCACCGCTCCGGGCCAACGTCAAACGCCGCTTCCGTTTCCTGCCCTCAGCCAAGATGGCGGCGGCGAAGAACCACCGTGTAGCCAACGAGGGGTGAAGCCGCTTCCGCCGCCGCGGCTTTTCCAGCAGTAAAAATGGCGGAGTCGGTGCTGGAAGTTGTGGGCAAGCTGCAATCGCGGCTGGCGGGCAGCTCGGAGCCTAAAAAGGTAACGGGGGGCGGTGGCGCGGCCGGGGCTCACCCTCCACCCCCTCTCAATTCATAGAGGGGACGAGGGGTCGGGAGGACCCGGGTCACCCCGTGAGGGGCGCGGGGCCCGGCCGGGCCTTGCCCGCCGTCGGGGCTCTCCTGAAGTTTCTGGGCCGCGGTGTGTGGGGTGAGGCCGGTACCGAGGGGTAGGCCCGGGGC